ACGTTGCTATTTGTCATTTTTGAAATATTTTCTCCCGTGCTTCGTTTTGCTGAGTATGAAGATACCTTTGCAACATGATACTTGTATGAATTCCAAAGATGTTTTGTTATTTACTTCGTTTTTTTCTTTCTTCTACTGCGGTTATTAAACTCGGTATGTCAAATATTGAAAGCCAGCTATGATTAGAGAAACGCAATTTTTTAGATAATTCCAAGGCAAGCTTGAATTGACATGATCCCATGAAAGGCTCAGTAGGCTTAATCTTCGGCAAGCTCATCTTAGGCGAAAAACAGATTTTTTCTTTTTTAGGTGCTGCCCGAAATTTCAACCCATTCATCGTTTTTAAATTGGTTTCATAACTTGTCTGAAGCGAGATGATAATTTTGATTGTTATAATGACATGCTGACTTTATAAACGTTCAGAATTTTCTGTTCACTTAATAGACCATCGTTTTAATTGTCTGCTCGAATTTTGAAACGACGCACGTCGCCTTGTTCATCAATTATTCTACTTGAACAATGTGTAATCACGATGAAAGGTAGGAATGATGCTCGAAATTCCATATGCAATAATTAGAATCTTTGGCTTTAGTTTTTGCGAGAACGAGCTGTTTCACAGCTTCGAGAAATTTGTCTTTCCAACCATTACGTTATGTCGGAAAAGGCAATGAGCCTTCGTAGAGAAACGCAATTAATTCATGTGTAGTGGATGACGCTCAGGTTCGTATTGTGGCTCCAGGTTTATTTTAGCTACTACTTTTGCATTTTTTCTTTATGCTGTGATAATGTAGCCAAAACTGCTAAGGCCTACACTAACTGCGTGAACTTTTTCACCGTGCCCTGCCTTTAAAGTCTCGTATTACGAAGGTGCGCATTGTTGTAGCAAATTGCATAAAAGAGCCACACCCTTTTAAGGATATGCCAGTGGGAAGTACACTTGACTTCTTCAGTTTAACGAGATCTCGGTCCAGACGAACTGTTATGCGTTGGACTTTTCAATCCTTATTTAACAAAGTTCAATTTTGAGCATCTGATGCCCTGCGAATTACTAGACCTATGCTTCATGTTACATGGAGGAGAAGAATTCAATTGCAATTTGAGAAATAGCGTGAGGAGTCTCTAAACGTACAGTAGGCTGCGGTTTCTGCAGTAATCGAAAACAGCAAATGACAAGTTCTAAACTACGTGCAACTTCATACAAATAAATCACATTAAAATAATCGCATCAGGGTGTAAGTTCCTCCAGCATGACTTGCGTCATTATTCAGCTGTTTGTGAGTATTCGTAGTGCCAACGATGGACTAGTTCTCCTTTCGCTAAAAAATCCACTGAATCTCTGATCTACTTGTAGAGCGAAGTCTAAATTAGACAGCAACTCAGTGCGCATCACGCTAGTATCGTATCTGCCTTAACGCTTGGCAACTTACCAGCGGAGCGAGTACATTGCAGCTGCGGAACAATTTAAAAACTTTTGCCATAATGATGCAAGGATTGCCGAAATCTCAAGGACCTTAACCGGTACAATGGCGAATGGTTTTTTTCCACAGTAACAGATTCGTGGATTGAAATGTTCGAGGTGATTTATCATCGAATAAGCCGTTGTTGGTCGTTGTTCAATAAAACACGTCTTCTGCTATTCTTCAATGGTCACCAATCAGGAACATTGCGTCTTACTCATTCTTATTTAGAGAAATAATGAATGTTCTTCAAGTTTCAATTGGAAAATAAACAGAATACATGCACAAAGATACATCATAAACTTGGATCGCTTCGACCGACCAGTAATCGGCGAGAGACCATTTTAGCCCCAAGGATCATTCATTTTTCCGGGTTTTGTACCTTCTCAGTCGTCACGTCACCTTTCCGGCCATTGATATAGTCTTTCTACAGGAGGGGACAATATAGAAGTCTAATCGGACAACAAAGGTACCAGATGAAGATCATCACTGACCATATTCCGCTCTCAGCTGAGTTACATGACCGTAAACTCTCCTTTCTGACTCTGCCCACGGGGTGACGTCCGTTGTCTGATAGCCATATTGGAGGTGCGAATGCAACATGAGATTCGTATAAACTTATTTCTACGGCTCTATCGGTTATAGTAGCTAGCACTCGCCTTTCGTGAGTGACCTCTTCTCACAACCCTGGTTCAACTCAGTCAAAACGATAGAATTGCAGAGGCAGGGCGAGTTGAGTTCCTGTTGTTGCCGATGAGGATGTGTTTGATCGAATGGAACATCTACCAACTGGCCGTTTTCCTTATTGAATCTCACCGGCTTGATCATGCGCTATGTTCATGTCTCAGCCAGGCAAGTGATTTTAAAATTCCATCGTTCTGTCGAGATGACTTTAGGGAAATAGGTGATAGTTTGTGTAGGAGCAAGTTCGCTATCAATCAGTAACCGCCGTTCTTCAGCGCTTTCAAGGTCGACTGCTAAAGTGCCAAATCATTTCCGCAATCTCTAAATCGTTCTTCCACTATGCACCTGTAAATGTAGCATGGATAACTGAATAAATTTTAATTTTCAATTGCAAAGAGATATTCGATTCTTATCATGACATGATATTTCAAATATACATACATGCAAGTAGTGACACATAAATATGCACGCATGAACCACTGCATGTTTGTTTCTTTATTGCTTCGCATAAAGACAGCATTTAATTAAAAATTACTTAAGCTGCGAGCCACACTCGACTCATTCTCATGGCCGAATGATACCAACAGATCTGATAAAAGTCTAATTGATTACCGTAAGATTTTGTCCAGAAAGGGCTGAGAAGGGTTAGACGTTGGCAGCGTCTTTTCTGCCGCTCACTTCGAGACATTTTTCAGGTTCATGCTACGCTCCCTGTTCAAACATTTTGTAGAATCTAAGGCTGCTGAATCCGATGAAATCTATCCTAAAATGCATAATAATTTAGGCAAACATTTCATGTTACAGCGGACACGTCTCTGTCGGATGACAATGATAGAAGGCAGAGGCCAGTGGTGGCAATAAATTGGATGGCAATAACAATTCAACAAGTAGATCAATTATGGTGCCAAAATGATCACTTCTAGCAAAATGTTACATGACTTGTAATCATTTTGGTTATAAAAATCACGTTGAAATTTAACCAGGGTTTGCACTGCAAATCGAGTGTTAAATAATTAGTCGCCATAAATCGAGAGAAGATTATGCCAGAATCATTCATGTTGTGCGCATGTCAAGACAAGTCGAATTAAAGATAATGTGCTGTTAAAGAAAAAACCTAAATCCGATGAAAAAATTACATTTGCTATGCGATCAAGACAGCTCATGGCGTATTACGCGTGCTCACCATGGTGGCTAATTCGAAAAAATTTTTATCTTCGTATCAGCGGTTGTGTGCTTCATTCGTGCGAATAAACGAAAATAGAACAAAATCAGTTGATATTCCGAAGCTGCTTCAGTATGACTGACCGAATCCTTCAACACCTGACGTGTGCAATTGTTCAAATCGTAGGTGTAAAAACGCTTTCGTTGATATTGGAGAAACATTACTTTGTACCTGCAAGGTTGTTATTGCATGTGCGATTACGATAGTAAAATTAATTGCAAATGCACGTGCTGGCGTCCAAAGGTAAATTGTAAGTGAAAACGAAAATCTGATATAAAGCTAGTTAATTGCTTAT